TTGTGGGTTCAATTCCTGGTCAGGGCACACGCCTAGGTTGTGGATTCAATTCCTAGTCAGGGAGCACACAGGAGGCGACCAATTGATGTTTCTCTCTCTCTCTATTTCTCATGCCCCCTTCCTCTCTCTCTAAAATCAATAAAATATCAAGAAGATTTTTTTTAAATGCCACTCTTCTCACAGATTTTTTTATTTTGGATAACAATTATTTTTCATTAAAATGTTATTTGTATTAACATGTCATAAGTTTATTTTACTGTTAAATGGGTTAACATAAATATTTTAACTTATCAGTTTTAATTTCTGCTATGATAAGTACTGGACAATCTCCCCAAGTAAATCAAAGGCCTTTTAGATCCTCAATGATTTAATACATTAAAGGAAGATGAGAACAAAAAGTTTAAGAACCCAGAGCACTGATTCAATTAGCACTTCCAAGGAACTTCTCTACCTCCCTAGTCCCTGTAATAACTAGTTCTGCTTTGTTAGTTAAACCTAGGTTTACTCATGACAAAAAGTCTTCATAATGATAAAGGAGTCAATTATTTATCAATAGAACATTGCAAACCTAAGTATTTAGGTACCTAATAACACAGCTGTAAAATATATAAAATAAAAAATGATAAAAATTCAAAGAACAGGCTAATTCAAAATTATAGCTGGAGATTACAACATACCTTCCTTAATAATTAATAAGTAAGTAGATAGAAAAGATATAAAACTGAACACTATTATCAACCAATGTGACCTAGAGATTTACAGAATATTCCACACAACTGCAAAAAAACCAGATATTCTTCTCAAGTGCACACAAAAGACAGACTATATTACCAAGACAGACTATATTCTAGGTTATAGAACAATTCTTAATAAATTTGATGAAACCAAAATAGAATATTAGAAATAATAGAAAACAGAAAGAATATTTTCTGTCTATTTTGCATTTAATTAGAAATCAACAGCAAAAAGGATCCTTCAAATCTTGTAATACTTGTAAACTAAATAACTCATTTTCAAATAACTGAAGTTTCAAAGAAGAATCAAATGGTAGAATTAGAAATTTCTTTGTGCTGAATAAAAAAGAAAGCATGACATATCAAAATTTATGAGTTATAGATAACACGCTTGAGGGAAATTTACAAAGCTAAAACCCCTATATTACAAAAGACAAAATGCCCTGGCTGGTGTGGCTCAGTTGGTTGGAGCATTATCCCATAACCAACAGGTTGCAGGTTCAATTCCCAGTCAGGGCACATACCCAGGGTATGGGTTCGATTCCCCAGCCCAGGCACATATGTTCCCTGGGGCCAGGCATGTGGGATCCTCGGTCCAGGTGCATATGGGAGGCAATCAATCGATGCGTCTCTCTTGCATCAATGTTTCTCTCTCTCCCTTCCTCTATTGAAAAAAAAAAAAAAAGCAATGAAAATATGACCTTGGATGAGGATTAAAAAAGAGAGAAAGAAAAGACAAAGGCTCTCAATGCCTTCAGTTTTTACTATTAGAAAGTATAAGAGTAAATTAATCCCGAAATAAGGAAACGAAAGGAAATAATGAAGACCAGAATGAAAATCAACACAATAGAAAACAGAAAACAACACAGAAGATTAATGAAACCAGAAGCTGAGATATTTTTTAGACAAACTAACCATGCTGGTCAATTAAAAAGAGAGAAGACACCAATTACCAAGATCAAAAATTAGTCCTGTGATATCACTATAGTTCTATAGTTATTAAAATAATAAGAATGTTATTAACACCTTTATGCAAATAAATATAACTTCGATGAAATGGCCAAATAATCCTGGAAAAATACACAGCTCACTCAACATGAAACAGATAAACGGAATAGCTCTATATCTACGAAAGTAATTAAATATATAGTTAAAAACCTCCCTACCAAGAAAACTCTAGCTCCAGATGGCTTCACTGGTGAATTCTGTCAAACATTTAAAGAATAAATACCAATTCCACACACACTTTTCCACAAAATTGAAGATGAGGAAAGAATGTCCAATATATTCTGTAAGACCAGATTTACACTGACACCAAAACCAGGCATTATTAAGAAAACTACAGACCAGTAACTCTCTAGAGCATAGAATCAAAAGTTATTAACAAAATTTTAGCAAGGTAAGACTAACAATCAATGAAATGGATAATATATCACAATCAAGTAGAGTTTGTCCCAGGAAAGCAAAGCCAGTTTAACATTAAAAAAACTGTAATTCACCATATTAACGGACCAAAAAATATATACATGATCATTTCAACAGACACAAAAAGTATTTGACAAAACCCATTACCCATATCTGATAAAAACTCTCAGCAAACTAGCACCAGAAAGCAACTTCTGCCTAAAGCATACTTCTGAAAAACCAATAGACTTATAATCATAGTAAAAGACTGATGTTTTCCACTGAAATAGGAACAAGACAAAGACATCCTCTTTCACTATTCACATTCAACATTGTCTTGAAGCTTCAAACTAGCTCAGTAAGGCAAAAATAAAAAGAAAATGCAAGAAAAATAGAAGGGGAAAGAAGCGAAACTTTTTTAATAAACATGATCTTCTATGTATAATATAAAATCCAATGAGTCTACACAGTAACTACTATAACTATTAATGACTCTAAAAAGGACACAAAGTATATCAATATCAATTGCATTTCTGTGAATATAAACAAGAAATAATCAAGTTGAGATTGTAAAAATAATATAAAAAATGCATACACTTACAATAGCAAGTGCTGGAAACAACCTAAGTGCCCATCAATAAATGAGTGGATCAAAAAACTATGATACATTTACACAATGGCATACTATGCAGCAGAAAGAAAGAAGGAACTCCTACCCTTTGTGACAGCATGGATAGAACTAGAGAGTATTATGCTAAGTGAAATAAGCCAGGCAGTGAAAGACAAATAACATATGATCTCACCTATATGTGGAACCTAATCAACAAAAGAAAAAAAGAGAAAAAAAAACCACAGACATGGAAATAAAGAACAAACTGACAGTGACCAGAAGGGAGGGAAGAGGAGAATAACGGGGGAAATACGGGGAAAGGTCAAGTCAAGAAACATGCACAAAGGACCCATGGACAGGAATGATGGGTTGAGAATCTCTTTGGGAGTGGGGGTTGGGCGGGACAGAGGACAGCAACGGGGGGAAAAATTGGGACAACTAACTGAACAACAATAAAATAAATAAATAAATGTATGTGTATGAGCTATGTCTTGTTCTGATAGGATGCACATATATATTTCTCAATGGGAAAATCGAATTGTAAATTAAAGTATATGATTCTGTTTTATATGAAATAAGTCCTACATGTGTTTGTTTCTGGGAACATGAATAAAGGTGTAGGAAGGCGTTTAAAAAATGCATATACTTTGGAATAAATACGACAAAGATTTGCAAGGCTTAAATACTGAAATCCAAAGAGAAACCACATGAAAAGATGTTCAACATCATTTATCAGTAGAAAAGGGAGATTAAAACCACAATAAGACACTACTACACACCTATTAGAATGGCTAAAATTAAAATTGACCAGAGCAAGTGCTGGTGAGAATGTGAAGCAACTAGAACTCTCATTATTAGAGGTGGGAAAGTAAAATCATACAATCATTTTGGAAAACATTTGGCTATAAGTTTGGTTATAATGTTAAATAGATATCTACAGCCATTCCATTCAGTGGTACTTAATTTACACAAGAGAAATAAAAACAAATGATCATATAAAGACCTTTCCACAAATGTTCAGTTTCATTTATAATAGACAAAACCTGAAAACAATCCAGATGTCCATCAACACGTGGATAAACAAAAATGTGGAACAACAGAACAGTTTTCAGCAATAAAAAGTGAGCCATTTTTACATACAACATGGATAAATCTCAAAATAATTATGCTGATTGAAAGTAGCCAGAACAAAAAATAATAACGATGTGACTAAGTTAGTGAATTACACTGGCTATTCACTATTAGAAAAATCTTTGCATTCCTCAAATAAACCTTGCCCAATCATTTAAAAAAAAAGGGGTGGGGGAGTAGCCAGACAAAAAAATAGTATATACCATTCATATAAGATTTTAGAAAATGTAAACTATTCCATAGTGACAGAAAGCCTAAGAAAAGGGAATGGAAAAGAGGGGTAACAGAGGAGTACTACAAAAAAAATTTTTTAAGGTTTTATTTAGCCCTGGATGGTGTGGCTCAGTGGATTGAGTGCTAACCTGCGAACCAAAGGTTTGTCAATTCAATTCCCAGTCAGGGCACACACCTGGTTTGTAGGCTGAGTCCCAGGTTGGGGATGTGTAGGAGGCAACCACACACCAATGTTCCTCTCCCTCTTTCCTTCCTTTCCCCTCTCTCTAAAAATAAATAAATAAAATTTTTATTTATTTATTTTTATTTTTAAAGACTTTATTTTCAGAGAGAGGGAAAGGGAGGGAAAAAGAGAGAGGGAGAAATACCTATGTGAGAGAGAAACATCAATCAGTTGATCGATCAGTTGCCTCCCCACCCCTAACCAAGGACCTGGCCCACAACCCAGGCATGTACCCTAACTGGGAATCGAACTGGTGACCCTTTGGTTCACAGGTTCCAGGGCAGGAGTATGAGGAAATTTTGGGAGAATGTTTATTATCTGGAACGTATTGATGGTCTCATAGATAATGTACATACCAAATTTTATAAAACTATAGGCTTTAATTGTGTGCAATTATTTTACTTCAAGAAAGTCTTAAAAGGAACAGAGTAAGTGGTAATGGCTGCACAACAATGTGACTATAATTAATGCCACTGACCTATACACTTAAAAATGGTTAAAATGTAGGCTTATACTGAACGCAAAGCTAGAGCTGAAAGTGGTAATAACCATAGTCAATCAGTAAGAAGATGAATAAGGAATCCATATATCCAGGCTATCTACTCCTTTGACAAATGCTGCCAATTGCTTAAATGTGAATTTAAAGCTGTTTACAAGTTGTTACCTGGGAGATGTGATTGATGGAAGACTCCATTCTCCGAAGCTGAGAGGCTTGGATGTCCAGCAATTGGAGTACATTGTTGGCCAATGCATTTATTTGATAAGCAACACTAGCTAGGGACTGGGTTGTGTAGGCTTTGGTCTCTTCTAAAGCTTTTCTCTTGTCTGTAGCCTGAAATAAGAAAAACAACCCATACTTAACATTAATTAAACTCATATTCTATAAAAAAAAAAACCCAACTCAATCAAAAAACTTACCAGGCCAATCTGATAGTCTCAGGACACCTGTAAAGCCATGGCAGAAATCCCTATCAGCCAGATGTGAACTACTTCCTCCTGAGTTGCCCATCCACTGGGGTGCACTAAAGAAGCCACCAAGCAACTGACATCAGAGGCACACTGTAACACTTGGTGCCAAGTTGCTTCAAGTCCCATAATCATCAATTTCTTGCATTTCATCTTTAGGACCTGATGTTAGCCCAAGCTCCCAACCCACTGTTGAGATTTTAGCTAAACGAGTTCATAATACTGCTGCCTTGGCATCTATTTGGTGTGTCTAATGAGCCTGAAGGGCTCTTGAACTGACACTAGCTCCTCCACCAAGCACATACCCTCAATAACAGCCCTCAAGAGTTATAAAGAATGAATGCTTTCCACTAAAATAGGAACTAGACAAAAATGTCCACTTTCACTACTCATTCAACAGTGTCTTTAAGCTTCAAAGTAGTACAATAAATAAACATGTTCTTGATATGACTCCCCCCCTCAAGGCCCTTTGTCTCTTCTGCCTCCCAGCTCTTTCCCCTTTTGTTCCCCTTAAATAAGACCCCATCACCATTGGAGATTATCAAAAACCTGCTCTCTTTGGTTTGAATTGACCAATCCAGCCTTAGCCCAGGAACCCCAAAGCACTCTACCCACAGACCCTAACTGAAGGCATTTGCCCCAAGTCCTGCTGCTGATACTCTGTACACACTCTGCACTAATCTCCCCATGTGTATATCCTCAAGGCATACTGTATACCTCCTCCAGAACCTATAAGTAATAAAACTTCTCTATTTCACTTCCCTTTCAGTCTTTTGTTGAACTTTGACTCACCATCTGATTACATCCCAAGGTTCTACTTACCTGATGTTAACAAAAAATCCTAACACCCACTAACAATGATATAGACTAAATTCATTCTACCTTATATTCCTGTTTACATTAATCACCATTAGAAATCCTACCTTTCTGTTATCCATTATGATCAAGAGTCTCATCTACACAAAAACTGTTAATCTTACAACCCAACCCTCTACTCACCCATTCTTCCCAAACTCCTATACTAACTCAGAGTAAGGTGGTGAGCAAAGTTCAAAGCAAAGTTCAAGTGAAGTTCAAAGACAAGTGATAAAACTATGGGGGCTGGAGGGGAAGCAACTTATATCACAAAGGGTAAATATCATTAATTATCTGAAAATGAAGAAAGGCCAAGAATCAATGAAGAGAGAAATGAAAAAGAGACCTAACAGTTCACAAGCAGTGCTTGTGTTCAAGTAACCCTTATTTTACTTAATAATGGACCCAAAGCATAATAGTGATGCTGGCAATTCAGATATGCCAAAGAGAAGCCATAAAATGCTTCCTTTAAGTGAAAAGGTAGAAAGTTCTTGACCTAGTAAGAATAAAATCTGTATGCTGAGGCTGCTAAGATCTACAGCACAAATGATTTTTCTATCTGTGAAACTGTGCTTCAAGAAGGAAAAGGAAATTCATGTTAGTTTTGCTACAGCACCTCAAACTGCAAAATTTATGGCCACAGTACATGGTAGGTACTTAGTTAAGCTGGAAAAGGCATTAAATTTGTGAGTGGAAGACATGAACAGAGATCATACTGACATAACTTTTATTATACTATATTGTTAAATTGTTCTATTCTATTATTGTTAATATTACTATAACTAGTTTATAAATCAAACTTTATCATAGGTATAAATGTAGTATAGAAAAAAATATAGTACATATACAGTTCAGTACTATCCCCAGTTTCGGGTATCCACTGGGGGTTTGAAGCATATCTCCTGTGGATAAGGGGGACTACTATACTAAATAATGTCGAGAAATATCATTATTACCACTACATCATGATCTGCAGAATATTGCTAAGGTGAAAAAACAACATGAAAAAAGATGTTTACAGAATTGGAAAGGGGGAAAGACAGAAAAATATATGCTTATATTCTTCAAGAAAGAATAAACCTCTACTTTTATTTTTAATTATATAAGGGTGAGCGCTTAAATTGGAAGGAACATGGATAAAATTCTTTAAGCATTACCCTGTTTAGTAGATTTATTTTAGGAACTGTGTAAATAATTTACACAATTATGAAACAAAATGAAAACTTAAAAAGTAATTCCCCAAAATTAAATATAAAATTAATCAACAAGCCTAACTATGCATCCAATTAGTGGCTTAACCAGAGAGGAAACATTCTAAAAGTGACTTCAAAGCACAGGAATTTGATTGTATACTCATAATGGGATTTAATCCTGAGGACAAAAAATAATTGAAAGAGGAGGAAAAAAAACTGAAACTGTTTTTCAATGATTTTATTCCTAATGGTAGTTTCAGAATTTTTATCCTGAGACTGTTGTTTGTGTAGTGTGGGATAAAGGAAGTCATTCATTATGTTTTGTCATTGAGAACTGAGATTTCTGGCATGGTTCAAAAGAAATTCTGATGTAAGACAAAGTTAAGAAAAAAACTGTAGCTCTGGATCTAAACTGAAAGCATCAGTTTGAACCCAATTTGTATTTTTTCATATAATCAATATACTAGTTCTGTCCAACGAAAAGGCCTAACTGTATAAAACATGGTGACTATAGTTGATAACATCGTTTTATATAACTGAAATTTGCTGAGAGAGTAAAACTTAAATGTTCTCACCAAAAAAGGAAAGATAAACATGTGAGGTGACGAATGTGTTAACTAAATGGGAGAAATCCTTTTACAATGTGCGTATGCTTACATCAAATTATCACAATGTAAACTTTAAATATCTTAGTTTTGTCAATTATACTTTAGTAAGCCGAAGAGGGAAAGAGAAAATAAAAGATCTAAAAACAACGACTGCCTAACAGCTATGCGGCACCCCTTATTATTCAAATTGTGATCTCTCATATTATTCTCCAAAGCAATAAATCAGGGCTCCTAGATGGCTACAGGTCTAGAACAAAAGATGTGCAAGATACACTTGGAACATGTATATCACAAAGAATGTGGAAGGAACAAGGACCACTCTAGGGTCAGGTCAAAAGGACTCAGTAATCAACGGCAATAAGCTGCTATACAGGCCAATGATGGGACAATGCAAACATCAATGAGGATAATTATAATAGAATTACAATCTGTAACAATATTAAAAAATAAAAACTAAAAGTCATTGGCCAGTTTTGGAGGTGGCTAAGGACCACCTCATCTGCGGAAGGGAGAGGGCAGCTTTATTAAAGTATGAAATATATAAAATACAACATACTTAAGTATGCCTTCCTTTCAAGCTTGGTATTTGGGTGATGGGTTTCCACATGAGTTCAAAATGTGTATCATGAAGTGTTTGGGGCCCATTTATCCCAGCCATTGCATGTTTGTCCATGACTGCAAAGTGTTCCAGTTTTGTAAATCCACGTGTCATAAAAACTTGACAAAAAAACACAATCCTCGAAAGGTCAGGTGGACTAAAGCATTCTGTAAAGCAGCTAACAATGGATGATTCATCTGAATTTGAAAAACACAGAAATGAACCTGTCAAATACCAGTGAGAGCTAAGGAATGAAACAAATGATGAGTTGACACAATGAAGAGTCAAAGAGATCAAACAGAAACATCAAACTAAATTTATAATTAACAGGTTGGAGAAAAATAAAGAACTACAGAAAGCTCAGGACATCAAAGAAGTCAAGCAAAACATTTATCTCATCCAGGCCACTTTTGCATGCAAAGGAAAGCAGCTGGAAGGCCAAAATAGTACAGAAATTACAAGAGGATATGGACATGTAAGTAGTTTCTCACAATCTTACTGTCTACCCATTTCTATGAGTGCACTAGAAAATCTGCTTTAGAGACTTAGAATGTCTAAGTTATTATTTCTTACAAAAGGTGACTCAAATGAAAAGGTAATTAAAAATATATCTCTTCTAAATTGCTGTCTGCAAAACATCAGATATCACAGATACCAGGTGGTACCTTACCACCTAGTGCATTAATGAAGTTAAACCTTCACCAATAGATATACTTATGTAGATCATGAAAATTCTGTAAATACAGAAGTGAATTGTGGACATAAAATGATTATGCCACATGGATGATGACACTAGGCAGCATTTCTATGATAACTAAAGGCAAAAATTTATGGCTAGTGATATAAAAAAAATTTTCCTTGCAGTAAAAATATCCCCTTTATTAACATTATAGAAAGAGGGATACAACAAGGAACTAACAATCTGTACGATAATTAGCCTCAAGTACGAATATCTTTTGTTTTGATTTCAGTATTTCATGTTTTAGTTTATTTATATCTTAGAGGAACATAATGGCCTCATATATTGAAAACTAATTCTAATGGACTATTTTGACCTGGTTTAACTATTTGGATAGGCAATGGACATTGGGGGTGAGAGTTGAATGGTCTGTTTCTGAAATGGCACTCTGCTGTAGAATTCCCACTTTTGAGAAAATTCTAACATGAGATTCCTAGTAGAACAAGCTTAACAATGATTTAGAGGCAGAGGGATACAAAGACTTTTAAAATCTACAATGTGCTTTTCTTTTAAAAAGCTCTTTTGGAAAATTTAAATTATGGGTAGAATATTTACACATTATTTGCCCATAAAATCATATCTATAGTAAGTACATACATATTTATTACTTAAAGGTACTAAACAAAGGTATGAAGTATCAATTACTTGGGAGAAAGTAACTTTGCCCATATGTACTACTCAAGCAGGAGATATATTTAAAGAAAAATACATACTTAATACTTAAAAAGAAAATTTAAGCATGCAACTCAATGCATTTTAACAAATGTATACAGTAGTGTAACCACCAGCAGAAGCATGATAAAGAACTTTTACACGTCATGTCCTTTACAATCAACTCCCTCCCCATTCTCTTGACCCTGGAAAACCACTGAT